TCTCATGAAGAGCAGAGCCAGGCTGCCAGCCTAGATGTGCCTAACCCTTGTCCCTCACCCACGGCCATGTCCTTCCTTCTAGAAAGTTTTCCACCTTCACCACCCCCTGTCTGCCCCTCTTGTCTCTCCTCAGACTTCTATCTCATCCTGGCTGGTTCTCTGTTGCCTCCACTTGACTTGTACACCAGCTTCTCCAAGTCTGTGCCCAGCAGCTTTCCCTGGCCCGGGGGAAGCCCCAGGTTTTGCCCTGAGATACACTCCAGTGAGGTGGTGGAGTGGGAGACGTGACACAGAAGGGCACTCTGGAACACGATGCTATTGCAAAAGACGCCTAGAGCTGCAGCCCAGTTTCGGGGTGCATACTGTGTGTGGGTGATGTGGAAACAGCCTCTTCCAGGTGTGTGGTTAGGGGGTTTTTGGGGTACCATCCATCATCAAGTAGCAAGGGGGGGCGGGCAGCTCTCAACTGCTAAACAATGGCCTGACTTCCAAGGGCTGGGTGGTGTGTACTCTCCTTGAATCATTCCCCGAAAAGACACTGAGAAGTGTTTTCCCTGCCAAGTAGAAAAACCCGTGGCTGATGAATAAAGATAACTTCAGAGTGACCCGGATTTTCTAACGCAGAGGGTATTGGGGGCAAAACAGGACATGCATTTCTTGTTTCTCCTGGAAACCAAACTGTGCAAGCTCCAAAATGGGACTTGCTGCTCAGAGGCATTGGGTTTAAAGAGGGGGAGGTTCCTTAGGGTTTCAAGTGAGGGATTCCTAAATACTGGTCTTCACCATGACTGTCCTGAAATCTGTCCTTGAGTCTGCAAGAGGTCGCAGGAAAGGAACGCTGCGTCATGCTATTGAAAGGGCTGTGATGGCATGGTCCCTCCTCAGTTTCCAGAGATCCATTATTCTTTACTCTGGAGATCATTATTCTTTACTCCGAATACTGGAGGCAGGTGACCTGTGACCTGGAGAAGACTTGCTCCTAATTCTCCACTCCAGTTCCTGGTGCGACAGTCTCCATTCTGCCCTTGGCTATGCAGCAGCATGAAAATCTCCAACCTGGGAATTGGGAGATCTGGTGACTCATGGCCTGCCAGCTGCCGACCTGGGAAGGTCAGAGGCCTGGGGACTTCATCCCCTCACCAGTGAGGTCTGGGACTTGAACTTAGTGTGGGTTCCCGGCATCGTGACATCTTTGGATTTCTCATTTCTCTTTGGTGAACGTGAGGCTGTTGCCCTCTCCTCTTGGACCCAGAATTGAACACGTCTGAATTTATATTTTCAGCCCCTAAGTGGGCTCCAGGGCCTGTCATAGTGAAAAAGACAGAGCATTTCAGTCCCAACTTGGCTCTTGACTGGCTGAGGACACAGGGCAAGCCACATGGGATGAGCCCAATTCTCCGTCTGGAGATGTGAACTCCCACCTCCATCACGAGCTCCTGAGGGAGGGCACATGCCCACCACCTGACACACAGAGGGCACTCGGAACCCTCTGCTGAGTGACCGGCCCAGGTGGAGGTGAATGAAACTGAATGGCTGGCTTACAAAACAGAATGCTGTCCCTGCTCCACAGTAGCTGGGGACACATTTATCCCCATCAAAGATCAGTTCCCATCAAGGAAGGACATGCTCCACAGCCCTGGCCGGCACTCCCGGAAGTCAGGAGCACTATTATTCTCCCTAATGGGCTTGGAAATGGCTACAGAGTTAAGCCTATTGATGTGAAAACACTGGCTTTTCTGGAAACCGGAGCTGGCTTCCTTGACCCAGAAGAAGAATTTTCAGAAAAACTGGCCAGTCTCTAAAATATCTCCCCAATTTTTCAAATGATGAAAAATCAAATAGACCTTTTTAATAAGTGTCCTAACACCTCAGAGGAGGGTGCCATGAGGAACTCTGGTAGTACCCTCATGGGACAGGGCAAGAGGTGGAAAGGTCCAGAGAGAGGGAGGGAGGGAGGGAGGGAGAGACCTGTCCCGGGTGACACAGGCAATTGGGTCCAGAAGAGATGCTACTGGACGATGGATTAGCACCACATTTTCTCCTTCACAAGCACCGTCACACACATGGGCTCGCATTCTGACCCTGTGAGCAGATGCCAGTGTCTCCTCTGATCAAAGGAGGAAGTTCAAGTTCACGGTGTCAGGGGCATGGCCATCCTGCTGCCCGGCCACGGCCTGCCCAGTACTCCCCCTGGGAACTCTGAGAAGCAGCAGTGATTCTGAAGGGAGGAGATGTTCTGGGCCCAGATGGTTGACTTGTGGGTATGGAAAGGAAGGCGGTGTCTCTGGACTGCCGAGTGTGAGTATAGAGTTATCCCTCACGTACCCTGAATCAGGGAAGAAGGACTGTCACTTCCCAAGGCCACCTCCATGCCTTCCCCATACCACGTATCAGCAAGTACAGACCCAGTCCTCAGGAAGCTGGTGTCTGCCTGGAGAGACGGGCGACACTCTCACCCCACCCAGAGTGGTGCCATTCAGCAGTGGAAAGGGATGTAGAGTGGCCGTGGAGGACATCACGCTGTGTGGACGAAACCAGACACTCAAGGACGCTGACCTTGTGGTTCTATTTACATCAGACTGTAGAGAAGACAATGTATGGGGACATGATCCAAGGTGGCCTGAGTAGGGAATAAGACCAACTCAGACGAGGCACCACCGGGCTCTGGGCGACAGAAATGTTTCATATTTGACTGTGGCAGTGGTTACACAGGTGTGTGTGTGTGTGTGTGTGTGTGTGTGTGTGTGTGAGCTTTTGTACAAATTCACTTATAGTCATGGAAAGGGACACCCAAATGGGTGTGCTGAGCACACATGAATCATCCCCCAGCAAAGTCGGTCACCAAAAGGTCTTTTATTATTCAAAAAATGGTATGCGGTGAGCAGGATCACCGAGCAGCGGTGAACTTCCAAACTTTGCAGAAAACAGGTGATTCACAGATGATGCTCTCACGAGGATGCACAGGTGCATCTCTTCCCACAGGCGGTGAATGCCAATGAACTATTTTCATAAGTTTTTTTTTTCCAACTAAATTTAAGTTTATATTTTTCTTTACAAAAAGTTTTTGCTCTTGTGGAGTTTTTAGTCCGGTGGAGAATAGAGACATGAAGACAGTCATTGTGTAGATAAATGCAAATAATTATAACTGGGAATAGGGCTACAGAGGATATCACATGAGATGTCAGAGTGTGTGCTAAGGACTTGGTCAGCTCAGGTGGACAGAGAAGCCTTCCATAGGAGGAGGAGGAGGAGGAGGGTGGTAGGACAGTGTCCGGCAAGTGAGCAGGGGCGGCTGGAGAGAAGCCATCGGTTCCAGGCAAGGGTTTGCATTTTTCCTGAAAGAAACCAAAGTGCATTGACACATTTTAAGGAGTGGAGGGAGGTGAAGTGAACCCTCCGTTTATGGATTAGCATGTGGGGTTAGTTTGCCCCTCTTTCCTTCTGGCCAGAAAGTTCTTGAGATTAGAGCCAAGTCTTACCCACCTGTGTATCCCCCAAAGCAGCTTCAGCACTCCTGAGTGAAAGTGACCCAGGAGAACTGTCCCCAAAGAGTGGCTTGCTGAATGGACAGATAAGTCATCCCCCTACAAGGAGGCCTAGTGCTCAGGATACCAGGCCTGCACCCCCATGTCGCACTGTGGCCCCAGACCCAAGCACACCAGACCCTGGCTCTCCCCCTTGCCACCTCAGGAGTCAGCGAAGGCCCTCTGGGGACTGTCCCAGTGGCATAGTGACCTGTGGCTCACACCCCTGACTCCTGTCACCAAGGCTAGGGGTCTATTCCTGGCACCTGCCCTTCCTGTGCCTCCTTTTGCTCTCAGGTCGTGACCTTCTGCCCTCCAGCCAGCCAAGCCAGCATCTCTGGCTACAAGGCAAATTCTGTCACATCCAAGGTGTGGGGACAAGTGATGCTGTGTCACCACACGGCTTTGGGGGGGGGGCTTGTCTGAGCAGGTAAAGCAGCAACATCCTGCAAGAAGGGGAACGTCTGTCCTCTCATGTCCTCTGAAGCAGAATCACCTCCGTGGATCTCTGGCGGGACCACAGCGTGAGGCTGAGAACAAACTTGGGTGTACACAGGGCAGGAATATAAATGCAGCTTCTGGCGAGGCAGAAACTCCGGCTCTGGAGTAGGGTGAGTGTGAGCTCCACTGGCACATCTGGGACAACAGGACGGCAGAGAGCTGGCCCCAAACCCCGGGCACTGTGATGGCCACGAGGCTCACCCCCAGGAGGGACTGGCCCAGGCTTCGCGCACAGCCTTCTTTACTCCTCACAGTGACCTTAGTTGGCATCCACAGGAAGCACACTGAGAGCCAGGCTCAGTGACAATCTCAGCATAAATCCCAGCCACTCAGGAGGCTGAGGAAGGAGGATCTCAAGTTCAAGGCCAGCCTCAGCAACTTAGCAAGACTCTGCCTCAAGATAAAAAAATAAAAATGACATGGGGGTAGCTCAGGGGTAGAGTCCCCCTGAGTTCAATCCCCAGTACAAAAAGAAAATAAATGAAAATACACCGAGGTTCAGTCATAACTGGTTAAGAGATGGAGGCGAGTCCCAAGGGGCAGTGGCTTTGAAGCTGGACATATGGGCATGCGGTCATTGCTGTTAGAATGACACACAAACCCCTAGGATCAGACCTGGTGACCTGCATGATGCCGGATCTCCTCTCCCCAGCTGTGCTGTGACTTATTTGATAAGAGGGTTTGTATTTCTGTTTCCTGTCCCCATCCCCACCCCCAGGGCAAAATGACTCCCACATTCCAGAGGCCTGTGAAATATCCACCAATTGACATGACCAGGCTTTGGAGAGCCTGAAACTTGGACTTTTTAGCAAATGGGCCTTTCTTTCCCTCTGCCTATTAAAAATAAAAGGTCATCTTAAACATAAATGCCCCAGTGTACACGTAAAGAGATCAAATGCAGGATACTGAGAAACCATAAAGGTGAGAAGGAAAAAGTTTACGATCCCACCCCAAGGCACCATTTCTTCTTACTTCCTTCCAACCTCCTTATGCAGAAGTTTATGTTATCGCTCTTGATGTAAGAGAGGGCTCTTTATAAATGTTTATTTTTTTTTACAATAAGAATAGTGTATTGATGCATTGAGAATGGGAAAATAATTGAAAAACAATGCCAGTCACTCACAATGTCACAACCAAGAGTTAATTATTCATGCTGGTGTGTTTTAACCTGACTTCATGCTCCACTCTGGGGACCCTGACTGCCGAAGTGCTTCTTCCGCTGTTTCAATCTAATACTGAGTGTGGAGAAAAGAAGGATGGTTAATTGACTCTTAATAACTGCATAATATTCCGCTGTGTGGTTAAATCAAAAATCATTTAGCCAGGTCCAAGTGCTACCAGTACCACCGCCATGGGAATCTGTGGTCGCTGGATGGAGGTAGGGGCCTCTGGGGTGTCCCCTGCATGGCTCTCTTCCAAGGCTGCTCTTTTCAGTCTCTGAGCCACCTGTGCATCTGAGAGCCACCGAAGGCTTTGATTCTTCTGGAGGAGCTGGCAAGGAGATCACTGCATGGGTCCTCAGGGAATCTCTCACCACCTTTCTAGAGTGTTGTCTTGTCTCTCCTGTGGACAGATGCCCAGGGATAGAGGACAAAGAAGGAGAAAGAGATTTAAAACAGATTTGTGCACATGTAACCATTCAACAGTCAGAGAGCAAGGAATGAGCAAAAAAGTAAACTGCCCCCCTCCCCAGCACACACACCCCCAGGCTCCCCATGCCCTTTCCAGCGGCGGCCATCGTCCACAGTTTTCCATGCATTCTTCCAGAACTGCCCACATGCACACCATGACTTCCCCAGCCACATGCAGTCTGTCCCTGTCTACCCACCTGTCTGTTCACTCCTCCAGGCCTCTGTCCTCACCCTCCATAGCTACCTTGCCTACCTGCTTCCCGCCCATCAGTCTATCCGTTCCTTGACTCTATCCATGCACATTTAAAAACCAGGAGTCTTTCAACAAATGGCTATCACAGAGCAGCTCAGAGGGGACATCAGAGCTGGGCCCCTGGCTCCCCAGGACAGCCACCTGCTCACTTTGTAACCCTGGCCAAGATGTCTTGCGGCTCTCTGACTCAATCTCATCTTAGGTAAACCAAGGCTGCGTCCACCTACGATGGTGCCTTGGAAAGTGGAGACATGGTGGCCAGGTAAAGGCCAAAGGGGCCAGGCTCTCCTCTGGCCGGCAGGAGGTTTTTTCATATCCCACGGAGGGTGGTGAGCGTGGGCGTGGGGAGTCCAGCCACCGCGGGCACTGTTTGGTCATGCCAGCACCCTGCGGCCAGGTGGAAGGGGACACAGTGAGCTTCCATAAACATTACCTCACGTGTTTTGCAGGAGATAAGATGTTTGCTAAACTTTGTCTCAGGAGCAGGTCTGGGGGGGCCTTTCTCGTGACCCCCCCCCCCCCCCGAGAGCTGATACCTGCTCTGACTGGCCATGGGGGCCGCCAGCTTAGTTTGCCCAAAATACAGGAACCAGCAAGTAGAACTGGCTCTATTTAGTGTAAATAGAGGCAAAAGCTCTCAATGTTGAAGGACAAAGAGGTCACACTGGGAGAGGGACTACCCTGGGGTCAGGAGCCGGAACCTATGAGCACACCGTAAGTCAACATTTTGCCATTGGACCTCAGCCCCCGTGGATGGCATTAACCCAGCCTGGGGTGCTCTCTGGGTTGAGGCTTACATTGGATGAGGGATCATGGAACAATCACGCGGGAACACTTACATAGACCCCACATGAAGGCTACTCCTAGAGTTGTGTCATGGGAAGCCTGTGGCCACCATGCACTCACAGGGCCTCTGTGACCCTGGGGACCCACGTTGGCCATTGGCTCCCCGACCCCCGTCCTTTACTCTCCCCTCAAAGCAGCAGGACGCGTGGCTGTGCGGGTTGCCACTGGGTGGTAAGAGCCCTTCCTCCCGCCCCACACCTCCATGTCCAGTGAGGGTACACGAGGCCCTCCCTGGACCCGGGCTCCTGGACCCTCCCCAGAGTCAACAAGGAATCGACAAGGAGTGTCCTTACCAGGTCCAGGGCCCTCCGAGGCCTGGGATGATGACCAGGTTACATCCTGCTTCCTTTCCCATTTAGGATTTCGCGTGAACCCATGAGAAATGCTAACGCGCACCTGCAAAAACCATGATAGAACTGAAACTTTCGCATTTTAACAGATTGAGAAAAACATTCACTCAGAGAGGATGGGAAGTCCGAAGTGGGAGGCCTCCTTGACCACGAGGCCAGGCACATTTCCCCCCGCCTCTACCTGTCATCCAAACACTAGCATTTAACTCAGTTAGTAGTGACGTCCGTCCCCATCCCTGGGGACAGGCAAGCAGAGAGAACGCAGCTGTCTGAGAAATGTGAACTGTAGGACCTTTATGGCACCGAAGGTCTCTTGGTCCTGAGTGTAGGTGGAGGGGACAGACCTTCGTGCTGACTGCTAGGGCAGCGGCAGAGTGGGCGGCACCCCAGCCTGGACAGCATCTCTGCAAAATGAGAGCGAGGATTCCCACCCTGTGGGGCTGAGATAGCACATGAGCAGACACACTCAGTGTCAGGCGCACAGTCAGCACACTTCTCTGGGGCACAAGAGGTGTGAGCAGCCGCTGATGAGGGGGGCTCAAGCAGGAAGCCTCTGGTTTTAGGCTGCGGGTGTCTAAGTGTCCCTTCACCACTTCTGAGAACAATCCCCAAGTCCCACAAGCAAGGAAATCAGCTCACTAGGCCAAAAAATCAGACGGAAGGGCTTCCTCCTCCCCTTGCCATTCCACAGCTCAGCACCCGACGCCCGTCCCCTCTGAACTCCAAGCCTGGTCTTGTTCCGCAGGGTGAGTTGCATAGTAAGACCAGCCTCTGAGCAGTGCTAGCCACCTTTCTTAGAACTTACCTGCAGCTTCCAGGCACATGTTATCTGTGGGTCTTATTGACCTTGATCATTGGGCCAAAAGACATAGATTCTCACCTTATAATAACTGTCATGTACACTGCTCTTACTATTTGCTACTCTATTGCTGTGTGACCTGAGCCAAGTCACGTACATCTCTGAGTCTCAGAATCCTTATGTGTAAATCAGAGAAAATAATCCTGTCTATTCCTAGGGCAATTATGAACTTACAAGTAGTTCTTACATATAAAACAGAATAGAGCTTGAAGCACAGCAATTTAATATGCAAATATAATGAACAATGTACACATCTTAAAACACTATAAAATGTGTGGTTTGCCTGGCACTGGGCTTTGTAAGTTTTTGATGTGTCTTCTTCTCAGATCAACCTTTTCATTATAATTCATATTATAGTTCAAGGAACTGGGAAGGAAGGAAAATATTGCCCTAGATGACTTGGCCAGTAGTTGGCACATTCAAAGTTCAAAACTGATTGTCTCATTAAAAATCACACATTTCTTCTCTTTGGGTGCTTACCAGTTAGTGTCCAAGCAGGAGATGGTCACAGGTCACTTCACCCCCACTCCCCTCTTTCCTTAACAACAGCCATGGTAACTATGATGCCAACAGCCAGGACCCTGAACTCCACGTGTTCCCTCAGGGCTATAAGCTGATGGCATCCATCTTGACTTTGCTAAAGGGAATCCTCCCAGAGAGCCCCATATCCAGAGTCCTGAGTCTAAATCCTGTAGTAGTTAGAGACTTCTTGCAGGGGACTCAGCTGCCTCCCGTCCTGGTGTCTCAGTTGGGGAACAACCCCAAGAAGCCATGTGCGCCTCACCCACAGCTAGGGGGAGGCCAGCCTCCCTGAACCCAGCCTCTTGCCTTCCTACCGCTGCCCCAGGCTCCTGCCCCAGCACCACCCTGGAGCTTAGCCTCTCGGGCCATTTATCACAAACCCCCCTCCTTGGGACCTGCCAGCCGTGCAGGTCTCAGGCGCACTCCTCACACACACCCATGGGTCCTCGGTTATTTAAAGATTCTGTTAATTCAGCCCTCGGAGCTGTCCTGCCGGCACCGGGCCCATCCACGTGTGGCTCTGGCATCCTGAGCTTCCTAATTCCATTCCTGGGGCTTAATTATGATTACACAGCTTTATTACATAGAGTTGATTTTAAGTAATGGCCCTAATTAAGAGTGAATTTTAATTAAGCTTAATTCAGCGCCTGCCTCCGATTGCCCAAGATTTGCAGCCTGAGATGAGGAGGGGCTGCCGTGCGCAAGACTCGAATGTGACTTTGACTTTGTGCTGCGGAGTCCTCTCGGCCAGATGGGTTTGCTTGACTTTCTGGCCTCAGGAGCTCATTTCTTCAGCAGGCTGCAGGGGGTAAACTGTATTCCACATGCCCTCCCCTCCCAGAAGCAACCCGGGGCCCTGGGAATAAAAGAATAAGTCAACTGGCCTGGAGGTGGGTGCCTGCACCTTGGGGAGACAGGCTCTCCCTGTCCTAGGAACTGACGCTCTCTTCTCTTCTCCAGCTGCTCCTCAGACCCACTTTACAGATGGGAAAACAGAATCAGGAGGCCAAGGCACACAGTCAGTGAGGGCCGGGAAGATTGAAATCAGCTCTGATCCCAAGGGCCTGGGGACCCTCTGTTCCCACCAGCCTTGAAGTAAATGGCCATCATGCCCGGGAGTCAGAGAAGCCTACCTCCTTGAATTTCCAGCCCAAGGCGGCACATCCCACACTTGGGGGCTTCCTCCGCTGCTTCTTGAGTCTTGCCGTATCTGCATCCACAGACACATCAAGGTTGTTTTTGCAAACAACCTTAAACTGATTTATTTTCAAATGAAATTTTTATCTTATCTCAAAATTGCTATAAAGCAGGGTTATCATAAATTTTTTTCCAAAAGGAAATAAAACCACTGTATCTAAGACTAAGGTCGGATCTGTCTTCATCTAAAACCCAGAGATGAGGAGGAAGTTGCAGACACGGTGCACAAATTTAAGACTTTGTCCTTCACAGGCTCAGAAGGATGGAGCCGTGGAAAGGTAACCATACGTCACTGTGGGATTCGGGTTATTGACATCTCCTCCACGTGCCACCTAAAATCAATTTTCATTTGTCCGGCTCTTTGAGACCTGGGCTAAGCCTGTGCTACCAGGCTTTGCTGGGTCCACCTGCCCGCCATTGCCACACAGATGACAAAGCTCTGGACAGGAGTCCAGCTGTCCCAGCGTCCCAGCCACGGCTCAAGGACAAGGTGTGGACATTCCTCTGGTATTTCAATTGAAAACACAGTGATATGTTCTCCTGGGCTGTGTGGGAGTCAGCAGAGGCCGGTCCTGACCACCCCTGTCCTGAACGCCATCCCCTGTTTCCTCTGTTTGGTGACACTGAGCTCCCACCCTAGGAAACCACCCTCTGAGGAGTCAGCACAGCTCTAAAAACATTTGCTTTTCTGGTTAAGTGAAAATTGGATTTGATTGCCTGGAAAACAAAGGGGGCAGAGTCATTCACAAATGTTCTCCTTAAAGGCTCGATTGGAAAACAGGCATTTGACTAAAGCCCCCGATAAGTTAAAAGCAAAAAGGAAGGAAAAAAAATTAAAGGAAATCATGTATCCGTCCCCTTCCAACTCCCGCTCTGACTTGAACCCTCCTGAGACTTAAAATAGAAAAATGGGCATGGCTTAAAACACAATAAATAAGCATTTTAGGGATTTGATAATTAAAGCCAAGAACTTTTCCATTAAACTTGGGTATTTTGAGGGCCATTTCCTTAACCTGATCTAGGGGCACAGAAACTACCAGGTCTGGGTAGTTTCTTCCAAAAGGGGGTCAAGCAAGGGCTGCCTGCCCCACTCAGAGCTCGGTGGAGACATCGTCACCAAACCCCTCAGCCGAAGCCTCTTCCCTGGGCCTGGGCAAAGGATCCCATCTCTGCACCTGAGAAGCTTCCCTCAAGAGCAGAGAAGACGGCCTTGTCTGAAATAGCCAGGCTCTCCCGGGATGCCTGTGCCGAGCCACTCGCCACATTCCGCCCTGTTATACCCACTACCTGTTCATTCTCTGTGTGTTCTGCAAGGTCACACCTGCAGGCAGCAGGAGGGGCTTCATGACCATCACTGAAAGTTTCCCAGGGAGTCATTAGTGTCCTTCCTCCTGCCACCAATTACTCTCGCCAGACCTGTCCAGAACTTGAATTCCTATTCTGCAGGTTTTCAGCTGAGGAGCTTTAAGCCTCAGCTTCCTGGTCTGTAAAATGAGGATCACAGTAGCACCTACCTTGCAAGGCTGTTGTGAGGATTAAATGAGATAGTGTTTAGCACCAGGCACGGCACACAGAAGTGCCCAGAGGGCCTTCAATGGTCAGCACTAATAAACTCAAGCCGTGCCACAGTTTATCTCTGCAGGTTTTTACTGACTTGCCTGTTGGAACAATGCTCCTGCTCTCGCAAGTATTCAGAAGCCCCGCAGGGAGTGGTGAGAGACTTAACTGCTCTACAAGCCTCTCGGATGATTTATGTCCTCAGTCTCATGTTCTGCCCTTCACTCGAGCCAAAGAGCTTTGGCCAGAGCTGACGCAGGTGCTGACCACTTATCTGAAGAGCCAGCTGGCAGGGATGGGCCACAGGTAGCACATGCAAGAGGCACATGCACGGACCATCTCCCTCTTGGAAATGGATTTTGATTGTGGATCCAAAAAGAATCACCGAGGCTTCACGTGCACATCCACACGTTTTCCTGTCCATGTCTTGCCCCTTCACAGCAGGACAGAAGGCAATCCCTGTAGGTGGCATCTTGGGCACGTAGCTGTCCGGCCCTGTGACAAAATGCACCATTCTTTCCTGAGTGAAGCTTAATGCTCCTCAGCCTGGGGATTTATATCGAGCAATAAAATCCACAGAAATAGAGAAATGCAAATAGATTGTAGGATATAATATTATCATTGTCAACATAAAAGCCTTTTATTTACTGCCCCCCAAAAGAAAATACGCCATAGTGTCATTTGTTTCAGGGAATGCAAAAGAGGTTTCAACAACTAACAGGGCATGTTTCTGAGCAAAATATGCCCCGTATATGATGCTGGAACACATATTGTCAGCGGCCACTTGCGCGTCTGTATTCTTGCAAACAAAACCATGGAATCGAGTCACAGAAGGTCACTTGCCTCCATGTCCACAAATGAACCAAACAGCACAGATATTGCAGGGGAGAGGCCCTGGGGCCAGGCCATTCTGGAGGAGCGCCTCTAGAACAAGGTGTCAGAGCAGTTGGTAACTGGACCTCTAGAGGAATCAGGGCAGAGGCTGAGCAGGCTGATGGTCCAGGTTGAGAGCAAGGGAGGTGGGAAGGAGGAGAGGTAGCAGAGGACAGGAGGGAGGGGTGACTGCCATCGCTTCCCAGGGACACATCCTCACAACACTGCACCTGCCCCCAGATGCTAGAGGTCATTGACCAGGTTGTTTCTCTTGCACAGAACACGACAATGCACAGGACCAGTGAGTTCCATGCACTTGGGGATAATACGCCTGTTCCTGTATTTAGGGGGTTCAGCAACCACTTAGTTTCTGAGTGAGAAGGATCTAAATTTATAAGGCCTTAAACAGCAATAATTACCTGAATAGCAATTTATGCAACAATATTCTGGACAGTCCTTTCAGTAACCCCAGGAAATATATGACTGTCTCTCAGCACCCACAGGAGCCCTGAAGGTACCAAAATCCACACATGCTCAAAGACCCTCATGTACAACCACATAGTATTTGCATATAAAGTACCATATCCTCCCCTGTACTTTCCACGACCCTAGATGATGACTTATACCTAATACAATGTAAATACTATATAAATAGTTGTTATTCTGCATTATTTAAGAAATAGTGAGAAAAAAAATCTATACATGTTCAATATGGATACAATTATTTTTTCTTTCTTTCTTTTTTTTTTTTTTTTTGGTACCAGGGTTTGAATCTAGGGGCACTTAACCACTGTGCCACATCCCCAGCTCCTTTTTAAATTCTTTTTAAATTTTGAGACAGGGTCTCACTAAGTCGCTTTGAACCTAAGTTGCTGCGACTGGCTTTGAACTTTTGATCCTCCTGCCTCAGCCTCCAGAGCCAAATATATTTCATTTGTTCTTGGTTGAATCTGCCGATGTGAAACCCAAGGACACCAAGGGTCAACTATATTATTCTAGCCAATTTGCAGGTGAGAAAACAGAAGCTGGAGAGAGGTGACAAGCATTACCACCAGTCACCTGTGCTGTGGGGGAGTCGAGATTCACACCCAGGTCTGACAGGCTCCTGAAGCCTCCATCTTGGGCTGCACTGATCACGCAGGTGGCTCTCTCCTGAGGCCCACACTGGGCACTCTGTGTGGGCAGGACACTCTCCTGACAATAGAGGCAGGAGTTATTTTTCCTGCACGGGAGGACACTGATTCTCAAGAGAAGAAAAGCATTTGGCCAAGTCACGGAGATACATGTAGCCTGCCAGGGATTTGAGCCCTAAGTCCTGATCCCGGATGCTGAGGTAGGAAACGAGAGCCTAAAGGTGTCCTACACTTTATAGACCCTGGCACCCAGGTCACCCCTGAAGGTTGAATGAGCTTCAGGACTTTCAGCAACCAAACCATAAGCTTGTTTCACACCCACAGACTCTTTTCCCTGCTTGCAGCTCATCTGAACAGGGAATGCCCCCACACTCCCAGGGTATCTTGCACCCACGGGGAACCGATGGGATCATGAGAACCAGTCATCTCCAAAGAAGAAATCCAATCCCAGGGAGGAAGCTGGTTTTCCTGCTCCCAGGGGTCAAAGCCACAATCCTGCAAACTTGTCCTAACTCACCCACCACAGAGACCTTCCCGAGTTCCCAGGTGTGCCCTCAAGGTCACGCCGGGGCGTGGGCCACGGTGTGGTGTACTCCATCATTAGCCTTTGGGACTCATCACCACAGAAGGGCCAGAGTGGAAGAGGCTTCATTTATTGAGGCAGCAAATATTGGTGACCAATGAAATTGGTGACCACCATGTCCTAGACTGGGCCTTTCTTGGAGAGGAGCAGAGGCCTATTCCCTGACATCTGAGACTTCCAGATGGTGCGGGGACACAAGAGTCAGCTGAACAGATGTGAGGCCAACTGGCACACTCTGCTAAGAGACAACAAGATGGGGGCATAATTCAGGAGTGGGGGGCTGACATCAGATGCAGAGCCTGGGAAGACTTCCCCAAGGAGATGGCTTTGAGCTGAGATCTGGCCTTGGGGAGACCTGGGGACCCATTCTGGAAGGGGTGGCTAAGCCCTGGAGGGCTCTATTTTGGGCATTTGGCTCACATCAGAGTTTCCATGATGACATGAAGGTCATGTGGATCCCCAGACTCTGATTTTGATCAACAATGAATCACAGCCACCAGGGACTACCACCACCCTATCCCTCCACCACACCCACCATGGCAGCCTGTTTGACCAACACAGAGATTACCCCAAAACATGCTTGGTGAAAAACACCCACAGGGAGGGTGCCATTTTCCAGTTTCTTCTTTAAACAGCTATCATCTCTGATATTTGGACCTCTCACACGATCACACCTGCTATAAAGGTTTCGCCCCATCACTGATGGCCACAAAGCTGGCGTTGTTCTTTGGAGAATTCCGATGTAAGGGGTGCAGAAGGGGGAAATGGAGGCTTTATTGGCAAGAGGGGAGTCAGCACTTGCAAGAGGAAAGGGAGCCAGCTTTGAGCTCGCCAGCACCAGCCTCCGAGCTTCCTTCAACCCTGGGAGGAAGGTATTAAAAGCCCCACCCTTACCCCTGTTTCACAGAGGCAGAGCAATTTCCTCAAGGTCACACAGCATAAGTGACAAAGCCAGAGTGGATGACATCACATTAATTACTAACTACTTTAATCGAATGCATTGATCACTTGCTAGGTAACAGGCACCTCGTTAGGAGTCTTAGGGCCATGCATGATTTCAAGTTTATCTACATATTTTGCTTCCACTTCCATCTATTTGGATGCTATTCCCACTTCATTACTGTCTCCATTAGGCAGATGAGGAGACTGAGACTCAGGGAGGAGAAGTAGCTTGCTTTGGGTCACTCAGCTCGGAAGCGGCAAAGCTAGGATTCAAACTGAGGTAATTCTGAAGCCTCCTGTTTTCAGAAAGTGGCTGATGTCAAGAGAGTGAAAGTTGGAAATGTTCTGCATTAAAGGAGCTTAAGGAGACATGACAAGCTGATGCACAGCTGATGCCCGAGTGGAAACCGTCCTGAAAGCGGAGACGCCACCCAGGCGTGTTATGGTCACTTGACAAAACAGAATGTGAGCAGCCCTGGAGACGAGAGTCGTGTTGAATTTGAACGTCTGTGGTGGGACCTCTGCTGCGATTGTGTAAGGGAACGTCTTCGTCTGAGGTATCTAGGGGTCAAGGGCCATGTTCCCTGCACCTCCTTCATGTGGTTTAGGGAACGAAGTGTGTGTGTGCACACGTGTATGAGCATGTACAGAGACAGAAAGAGCCAATGCAGTAAAATGCTAACATTAATCTAATGGGTGCATTTACTATTCTGTAAGTTTGAAATTATTTTCAAATATATATATATATATTTTTTTTTAAAGAGAGAGAATTTTTAATATTTATTTTTTAGTTTTCGGTGGACACAATATCTTTGTCTGTATGTGGTGCTGAGGATCAAACCCGGGCCGCACGCATGCCAGGCGAGCGCACTACTGCTTGAGTCACATCCCCAGCCCCAAATATATATATTTTTTAAATAGGAAGAAGCAATTGCTAGATGTCACATAATGAGCTGATGGGTGTGTCCTGAGATTCACTCCACGGACCTTTCACCTCTCTCCTGTCTCAGTGAGTCCCCTCTGTCTGAAACCCCAGCATTGCTGATCCATCCCTGCAGGTCTGCTCGCCCGGGGTGGAAGTGCACATACCCAGGAAAGGTATCCCTCCTTCAGATCTTGAGGACACGGAGCTGTACTGTAACGTCTCTATTCATAGCTAGCCAAGACCTGGGGGTGAGGATTGTCAACGTGCTTGTGGCATAGGGTGGTGCCAAGGACAAGGCGTCCTTGAGGGAACTGTCAAGTGGGCAAATGACATAGTATGAAAAACAATTGGGCTCGGAAAGGCGCAGACCTGGGAGCTGCCGAAGGAGGAAGAAGGAAGGAACAGAACAGATCCGAGGACCACCCACCATCTCACCTGGCATCTCCAGAGGGCTGCTCCAGGTTCCCTGGGATGGGGAGGAGTGCAGTCTTCTTACCCTCCCCTGCCAGGGCTTCGTAGTCTCTGCAAAGTGAAAATACAGCCACTTTGGTCCAGGGACTCTCCACCCAGTGTCACCCTGTACGTGTCTTTTGGGTCAACCTTGCCAGGTTTAGTTCTAACAATAATGACGATGTTTCTCCACGTAAAGAAACTAAAATTTAATCTTGCTTGTTATTAAAGAAGTGGAACAAAATGAATAACTATTTTAACTGATTTACACAGTCTCCTGTCTCGCCACATCGCCTGCATCTCGGTGACCGTGGGGAGCTTGACAGCAGTGACGACACACCAGTGTCATCAGGCGTCTCCTTCCCAGGGTGGTCTTCCACGGGCAGGTCACGCTCCTCAAGTGGGGTTGTAGAAGGCTGGTCACTGTGGCTGATGGCTCATGAGAATCTAAGCTATAGCCTTTTCTAGAAGCTCCTGCCATCCCAAGAATCAGGTATGAACTCTTGCAAAGCATATAAACCCCTGGACAATCTGGTCCTTGACTCTCTACTATCATCTCTGGCTGTCCCCATGCCTTACCTCCAATTCAGAGTATATTGCATTTCTTCCATTTCCCAGATATTGTCTTACCTTGACTCTCATTTAAGCAAATAATCTTCCCTATGCCCAGAATGCCCTTTCTCCTAACTTTTCCTGCTAAACTCTGGGTTTAATATTGATGGTGGTGGTGGGTTTTTTGTTGTTTGGTTTTTTCTATATTGAGGATTGAACCTAGGGGTGCTTTATCACTGAGAGACATCCCCAACAGGTTCTTGCTAAGTTGCTTAGGGCCTTGCTAAGTTGCTGAGGCTGGCTTTGAACTTGTGATCCTCCTGTCTCAGCCTCCTGAGCCACTGGGATTACAGGCATGTGCCACTGTCCCCATCTGGTATGTTCTTTTTGTCCAACCTAAATACCACTTCCCCCTGGAAGTCTCCCCTACATCCTAACCTCCTCCTATGGGCTCGCCAGTACCAAGGTCTTGATGTAGGATCCTTCCTAACCTGTGGAAGTAGAAGCCTGTGTTTCCCATGACAGTCCCAGGAAGTAAGGACTACATCTTATTCTCTCAGTTACTGTCCACAATCTAGTACTGAAGGATGACTCAAGAAATATTTGTTTCAGCAATGAAGAGAGAAAAGGGCACCAAAGAGTAATTTAAAACTGACTCTCCAAGTCTACCATGCGGGCTTTGAGTGAAGTTCATGATTTTGCTATGTGACAGGTAGTTTTGGAAATTAGCAGTATAGGCCTGGTTTCAAAGCCCCCACCTGTAACTCGTTAACCTCTGTACACCTCAGTTTCCTCACCTGTACAATGCAGATCTGCACTGCCTCCATCTCCCCATGTCACTGTGCAGATCAAAGAGCACTGACCCATGCCATGCTCATGCTGTTCCCAGCCCCAGTACACTCTGGATAAATGTTAGTCATTATAATCAGGATCTGTTATGTTATGATCATGATTACGATGAAAAAAGTCACATTAAAAGTGAAGAAAAGTCAAGCATAGATGTTCGGGAGGCTGCTGCCATGGAAACCTGGTTAGGTAGCTGAAATGTAACTGATGCCTCAACCAGATGTCGAATGTACCACAGCATCTGGGCATCTGCAAGCAGAAGCTACCTCCACAAACGAGATCTCAGTTTCCTTTGTTAAAATCAAACCTGATTAGGGGAAAATAAAGCATAACATTTCATAATTCTGGCCCTCCAATGCCAGCAAAGACAGGTGTGTTCTGCTAAATCCGAGTACTCCTACCAGGCACATTTACATATAGGAAATAGTGTCCTAGCTACGCTCAGTCCTGCAGATGTGGCTCTAGCAGGTTCAGGAGCCGACGAATGGAAAGGCAGCCTGGCAGAGGTGAGGCTCACTGCCTTGAGGCACCAACACCACCCCAGCTTACCAGCTGTGCCACCTTTGGGAAATGACTTTACTTCTCTGTGCCTCAGTTTCTTCATCTTTGAAATGTGGCTGACGACCTCATCTATCTCACAGGATTCCATAAGGGGAATAAATGAGTTAAAGTTTGTAAAATGCTTAGAACAGCATCATATCCTATGTATTTGGTTAAAAAAAAAAAGTGATAAAACTTTGAATCCAACTCAAACCAGAGAGAAAATTATAGACTGTGACCTCAGAGCCCCGGGGACTATGGATGTGTGTATTTATTTCTGCATTTGTGCTTCAAAATAACTGTTCAGAAGGGCATAAAGGAGGCAGAAAGAAAATCCTATTTGTTCTGCCTGTGAAGCTGGCAATTCCTATGTGGGAGAAATCAATGAGCATTTGATAAACAGTCTGCAACCCTCCCTGGCAAATCCCTAAGATGGATTCTGCTAAGATCCCTGGCTTTCAAGCCTTCCATGAGGAAGACAACAAGAAACCCAGGCTTTTCTCTAAGGAGGAGGTGAAATTTCATCATTTTCCGTAATCATAATACTTTTTAAGAAGTTACTTCTGAGGGGCTTTTCAGGTTTGGAATATGATAGCAGAATTCATTATAATAACCCGCTACAAACACACAGCGCTGCATGGTGCTGGGCTACCTCCAAACGTCACTGAGTGTCTTAACTGACTTCCAGACATGTCCCCTCCTCATGGACTGCAGGATAAAGGGCAGGCGACCTGGAATTAGGTGACTGCCACTGTTCTGGATGAATTTTCACGAATAAGCAAGCGATTCTGTGCCTCTGGGGCTCTGTTTCATTGTCAATGAAATGGAGCTATTATTCTCCACCTGTAGTCTATCTCCAGCATTAAGCCAGTGAGCTGAGTCTGTAAGGCCCCTGGCATAGTGACTGACGGGTGTCTTTGGTATCCTTGCTTCACATGATTGATTTTGAAGATAACCCAGTGTGAAAGCCAGGGTAGATGAAAGAGCAGTGAAAACTCAACATCACAAGGTAGATTTCAAGGGGGGACATAAGCAAAAGAATGGCTGTTCAATTGCTATGTGTAATAATAGTTATAGGATCCTCTTTTTGAAAGGATTCCCCTCCAGATGAAAGGCTCTCAGTGCAGGGGGGTGGGTTGGGGGGGAATGGCGAATTCCAGCTCTGGAGAAGGAACAGCACCATCTCACGCCAGGCGAGAGAGCCAGGGGAAATACCAAGCCTGTGACAAAAAGACTCCAAGGCTGTCACCGGTCTAGAAGGGGGAATTGGGCTTCACTCACTTAATCCTTGCAACAAAGATAATAATATAAAGGACCACAAAACATGAACCATGCTCAAATTTGTGAGTTTATAACTGATACTTCAAAATGACCACTTTTGGAAGATGCTAGGAAACTAGATGTTATTTTCAAAACCACTTAATAAAGGAGGGGGATCAAACCTGTGTCCGACTCTCTCCTAGGTGAAGAGTTCCTCTGCAGAATCCAATAGTGAAAGAGGCTCCTTTCGCTTCACGTGGTTTTCAGATTTACCCATGTTAAAGCAGGGATCAGAAGAACTTCATTCCTTTTTAGGACTGAACAGCATTGTCTCCTACATTTGGGTCATTGATTCTTCTCTGAATGGAGGATCTCAGCTAATAAATGCAGAGGGCAGGGGAGACGGCCACATTCTCGTACACCCCAGGGAATTCATGGGTCTGGCCAGTGGTCGTCTCTGTCTGCTCATGCCACCGAAGACAGGCTGTTGGACACGATGTGCCCACGAGGTGGCCATCCTTCCAGAGACACAAAACAGAGTCTTGTCAAGCTTCTAGAACTAATGGTCAAATGACAGTAAATGCAGGGGACAAAGGAATATGTCTAACGGCACCACAGGGGACCGTGATCAAAAGTCAGAATCTACAAAACAAATGGACCAGTCTCTTCAACCAAAAGAAATTAGGGGAGAGAGAGAGAGAGAGAGAGAGAGAGAGAGAGAGAGAGAGAGAGAGAGAGAGAGAAGCAAGACATAGAAGAGGAATCTATAGATTGAGGCAAGAAAATATGTCAACCATTCAGAATGTGTGAACCTCCCTTGTATCCCAGATGAAGCAATCTGTGTGTGTTTTTATAACAACAGGAAAATTTTAAAACTGCTCAGATATTAGGATATTTAAAAAATAATGAAAATGGTAGTATGGTTATTTTAACTGAGGTCAAATTCACAGATCATAAAATCAGTCGTTTTAATGTGAATGATTCAGTGGTGTTTAGTAAGTTCACAGTGTTCCAGAACGTTTCATCACCCAAAATGAAGTGCCATTTCCCCCCGAAACTGCCCATCTGCGTCATCTCCCTGGGTCACCTATTCTGGCTATTTCACATAACAGATTATACAATTTGTGGCTTTTGTGTCGGCTCCTTTCAGTTTATGTGTTTTTGAGATTTACCATGTTGAAGCAGGGCTCAGAACTTCATTCCTTCTTAGGACTGAACAGCATTGTCTCTTATATTTGGGTCATGGATTCATTTTAAGTTACTTTTTGTGTATGGTGTGACGTAGGGGCTCAATTTTATTATTGTGCATATAGACTAGTTTAGAGACATAAACTGTTCACATAGGCATTGAAATGTCTACAGTTTATCTCAAAATAATCCACGAAAAAGAAGAATGAGGAATATAGATGACATGAGATTGGCTCATGGATTTACCATTGCTGAAGTCAGACAATGAGTAGACGGAATCAATCAAAATACTTCTATATTTTCATATTAAAATGAGGGCATTTTTTTAAAGTATATTTTTTTTAGTTGTTGATGGACATTTATTTTATTTACTTACATACATGCAGTGCTGGGAATCAAACCTAGGGCCTCACATGTGTTAAGCAAGCTGAGCTTCAACTCCAGCCCTGAGGAGGGCATTGTTTTTAGAGAGATATTCAGAAATATTTGCAGATGAAAATGCATGAGGTCTAAACTTCATTTCAAAATTTTGATTTTGGAGTCAGGATGATGTAAATGAAATGAGATTGTCTATGAGTCGACAGTTACTAGAGCCGTGAGATGATACACGTGGGTTCATTTTTTAAAATATTTTTTTTAGTTGTAGATGGACACAATCCCTTTATTTGACTTATTTATTTTTATGTGGTGCTGAGGATGGAACCCAGTGCCTCATACATGTGAGGCAAGCGCTCTGCCACTGAACCATAATCCCAGTCCCATGTGGATTCATTTTACTGATCTTTCTACTATTGTTAAGTACATTTGAAAGTTTTCCACAATACAGTTCTTCAATGTGATCTATAATTCATTCCCTAAGATTTTACTTGGTAATAATGAGAATATTTGCAAATGAAGACAAGAGGAGATGGCTGCAGAAGTAGTGGTAGCTGATGTTTATCCTCCTAAGAAACCACCAACCTCAGAACTGGATGAAAGAAATATGGTGGATGAGCCAGTTTAAGGAATTCTTCCAGAAAAGAAGGAGTGGTGTTTGACTGGGCCTAGAAAAGTGATCACTAAGTCTGTCAAGAGGATTGGAGCAGGAAGGGAGTTTAAGACAGAGGTGAAAGGGACAGAATATTTGACGGGAATGGGGTATAGAAGAGTCCAGGAAATCAGCAATGGACACTGGCGGTTGGCTTTGAATATCATGCCAAAGATGGACTTTCCAATAAGCCAGAGTTGAAAGCTGATGGTCCGTGGCTGATATAAAGTCTCTGGCCTGTCTGTGTGATATGTGTGTTTCAATTAAGTCAACATTAATAGAAAAAGAAAATGTAGGAGACTTTACTTAAAAATCTGAATTTCTTTTAAAAAAATATAGACAATCTAGACACACTAGGAACACAGGGCCTGCATCCCCGCCACAAGCAGGCCTTTCATACAGACCATATCTTCACTAAGTTCATCCATCCTGTGTCACAAGTGGCACAGGAACAGCAGCAGGGCTATTTGTCTCCACAGTTTAACTGGAGTTGTTGTTGTTGTTGTTGTTGTTGTTTTTCCTCATAATGAGGAATACGCAACTCCTTTGGCCTCTATGGAAAGTGAGAAGGTGAAAGGTGGACATGGGGTCTGAGTGTCTCAGCGAACCCTTGAGAGGGCACATTCCTCTGTGGTAGGAAGAGAGCTCTACTGCCATCTGCCCAAGGTGCAGAGTGCAGCCACGGGGACAAAGGCCATGTAGGGTGCCCAAGTAACAACGAGGACAGTAACACCCCCAGGAGAGCACACCATGCCCTTCCTCCTGCCTTCCAGATGTTTCAAAACTTCCTTCCAAAGACCCTCTGTCTCTCTTAGGAGGAGGGCACTGGTCAAGTTCATTTTGTGGTGGTGTTCACAGCCAGAGGTTAGTTAGGATCCAAGAAAGACCCCAGAGCTCCAGACCACCAGGCCAGGCACCGGCCAGGAAGGGGTGGCTGAGAATTCCCCAAGACTGCTGGAGGGTGAGCTGGGGCGCTCCCTCCCACGCCCCCACCTGCCACATACTGAATGCACCTGCCTGGCATGCATCCTGCCCTGACCTCTGCGCAGTTCAAGGAGGTAGGTGGAGGAGGGAGGACTGCGCGCCTGAGGAGCCACCTGGAAGCTGCAGATCTGGAGGTGCGAATTCCTGCGCCCCCAGAACCTTCCAGAAACCCTTCCAGAAACCCTTCCTAGGGCAGCGGCTCTCCGTGATTGTGATGATAACGTCACAGCATGCCCCCCACAGGCTCTGGGGTCAGCCCAGCCTTGGATTTCACTGAAGTTAGTGACAAAAGCAGAAAGAGGCTGGTATTTAGGGCTCCAAGCTTGGGAGCGACACTCAGCAGATTGCTGTTCAGAACCTGCCCAGTTCCTGCACCTCAAACTTCCAGCTGGAGTCTCAATCACACGCTTTTGGCTCATTATTGAGGAAACGGCGCCCCCTGCTGGCACTCCCGACTGCAGCCGAACCTGCTTGGCAGTCTTTAGGACAGCCCAGGTCTATTCACATGTCAGAAAGAAGTCAAGCCAGACCACCGGCTTTCTTTTTGTTTCTTCTTTTGCAAATTAACTGGTGCTGAGAAGTTGAGAATATTATCTGACAGGTCATTTTTCTCAATAATAATAATAATTACTAATTATTAAACATGTAGTATGTGTCAGGCAGTGAACTAAATGCCTAATTTATTCAAATCTCTCTGATTTATTCAATCTCTGAAGATTATTATGCCCATTTTATGGATTAAGAAACTGAAAACACTGGTCAATTGCTGTGATTGTCATCTGATAACTTGAGCATTACTTATTTACTGAGCTCACATGTGCTGGGTGCTGTGGTATCTCCTGTTGTGGAGATGCATGGATTTCCTTAATAAATAAAATCACAACATAGCAAGAAGGGGACCAAGCTCTAGTCTGTGCTGCTCTGCCAGGTATTTATATTTGACCTGTTCATCACACCCACCAATGGTCCTGTGAGGGAGGGTGATATATCCATTTAGGAGGCGAGAAAAACAGGTTCAGAGTGGTCCACTTACTTGCCTAGGGTCTTCCAGCAGGTTGGGAGCTTGGATTGAAACTCAATTCTCCCTGGGGGCAAAGCCATACTTTCTTAGAGGCTCTACTAAATGAAAAGCTATTTACAAAAAAAAAGAAAGAAAGGAATTTATTTAGACCTCAGAGACAATCAAAATGACAGAAGGAGCAACTCTGCCTAGGGGCAGCAGCCAGGTAATTCACTAAAATAGGTGCCCATCTTTGAGTTCTACCATTCACTTCCCCAGTCATTCAATGGGCCTACAACATGTTTACTGAGGACCTACTATGTGCTAGGCCTTTTACTGGAAGCCAGGGAGATGGTGATGGCCAAGGGAGCTCATAGCTGGGGGAAGGGACCTAGCAGGGTGGTGGAACTCCCAGCAATGCCTCTGATTGGGATCAAGTTCAGGGAAGAGAGAGGGCATGCAGAGCCCCGGGTGAGATGGTGTGTTTGAGAGGCCTGACTGGGAAGTCACACCTGAGCTGCCTAAGAAGGCCAGGAGCACAGAGGGCCACTTGGAGAGAGACAGAAGAGTGGCCCAGCTGGGAGAAGGTTCAAGACAAGGAGCAGGTGGGAGCAGGATTCTGTGTAAAGGACCCGAAGAGAGGAAGATGAGGTAATTGCGCAAATGGGGGGCTCGAAACTTCAGGTGTGGAGCTGGCTGTGGAGGCCACGAGCTCTGCTTCGCCTCTCCTCTCTCACACACCAGGACCTCCATGAAGTGCAGTCTGCCCTCCATACCCACGGGCTTCACATCCATGGATTCAGCCAACAAGGAGTTGAACACATTACGGGGGGAATGTGCCTGCACTTAATGCCTGCACGCATTTTTCTTGTCATTATTCCCTAAATGATGTGGATGTGGACCAACCGCTATTTGCACAGCCTTCACTTCCTGCTAAGTATCACAGGCCATGAGCGGAATTAGAGGGTACGGGAGGACGGGCATAGTTATGTGCAAATGTTGCTCCATTTTGTAAAACGGACTTGAGCATCAGGATTTGGTGTCCACAGGGCTCCTAGAACCGATTCCCTCTGCATACCAAGGGATGACGGTACAATAAAAAATAAATTAGCAGAAAAACAAAATGAAGAAAGCAAGACATGAAAACATGGCACAAATTTGCTATAGCCAGACTCAACAGATAAGAAAGCACTCACACTGTTGTTACCGTACTCCTCTCATCAGGGAGAGTTTGCTCTCAGGTACTTACCAAGGACCCATTTTGAGAAGACTGCTTTGGAGCCCCAGTGAGCCACAGCATCTGTATTAGAAAGGGTAAGAGTCATTCAGCCAGGGGCCAAGGAGAAAACACCAGGTGGAGAACATCATGGGCAGATGCAGAGCTGCAGAAGCTGGCTGGTGTGTTTGGGGACTGACAGATCACTGGCAAGGTCAGAGGTGGGGCATGCAGACAGGCTGCAGTCCTGGGGGTCTGTTAGCTGTGATAACGACTTGAGCCATAAGAACTACCCTGAGTAGGTCTTAAGTCTCAAAAGCACATGCCAGGATCGCGCCTTCCTTCTGAGTTTTGCAAACCCAGCCAAGCTCTGCCCCACCAGCATCCACTGCTGTTTTGCCCATTGGATTTTTAACCTCAGCACACCTCTTTCCCAGCCAAAGAGAGGAAGGAACGGAAAGCACTGGCCTTCATGAGATCAATATAACTGACCCTTGAACAACAGGGTTTGAATTGTCCAGGCCCACTTAGACATGGGTTGTTTTTGTTTGTTTGTTTGTTTGTTTTGTTGAAATTTGTGATCAATTGACAAAACTCAGGTGGTCAAGAAATTAACACTGCATAGCCTAGAAATATCAAAAACAGTTAAGGAAAAGCTACAGTTAGGTATGTCATAAATGCATAAATTAGATCCATAACAGTCTAGGTTATAATCACTACCATAAGACATACACAAATCTATTATAGACAGTTAAAATTTAACAAAACTTTCACAAACACTTACAGACCACCCACGGCACCATTCACAGCTGAGAGAAATGTAAGCAAACACAAAGATGCGGCACTACATCATCGTGGCAGGAAGTTGACTGTGGTACACAGACCGAAATGCTGTGATCATTTCGTAGCCACCTCCTGTTGCTATGGCACTGAGCTCAAGTGTGCTGAATAGCCTCTTAAACACTGTGGGATGCCAATCATCTCTGCACGAGCAGTTCATCTCCCCGGTAAATTGTGTGTTGCAGTAAAAAGTGATCTCTTGCGTTCTCCATTATTTTTAACCACGTATTCTGCATACACAAAATACAAGTTGACTGACTGTTATGTCATCCGTAAGGCTTCCAGTCAACAGCAGGTTACTAGGAGTTAAGTTTGGGGGAGTCTAAAGCTGTGTTTGGAACTTAGACTGTGCTCAACCCCTGCATTGTTCAGGGGTCAACTCTACTGAAGTCAAAGGCGTCTGTCTACACCTTCGTTATCGAGCTCAGCAGTACAGGAGCTGAAGAACTTGAACTGGGAGGCGTGCCCTAGACTGGATAGTAATCTTTGGACCCCATCATTGGGCTTTCAGAATTACTCATTTTATCATCCCAAGTGTAATAGAGGCTCCTCGAGGGTAAAATTAAACCCCAAGTATAACAAAAGTAGTTTTCATTTCCAAGCCCTGGACCCAAATGTCTGTCAAGCTTTATTCATGAATGAAGAAATGGGCTCACCTAATTCACAAGAGGAAGCCAACAGAAGCTACAGGGTTCCACTTGGGCCACCTGCACCCTGAGCCTGCTGCTGCCCACACCAGCCTCGTGCACGGCTGGGGAACTGAGTGAGCTCACGGAGGGACAAAGTGCAGCTGGAGGGTACACATTCAACATCGCTAAACATTTCCACAGCCAGAAAAGCAATGACCACCAAGCCTCTTGCAGTTTTTATTGAATTGGAAATAAAAATCTAAATGACTTTTAAAAAAGATCTGTAAGCTAAGTGGCTAAGGAAACTAAAACTAGATCATTTAAAAAGGATCCAGCAGACGTGGCAGATGGAAAGTCTGATCCAGCTTTACCATCACTGGTCACCGCCACTCATGGAGCACGTATTCAGTGCCTTGTCTGCACCATTGCAGTCTAATCTTTACAACCCCAGAAAGTAGATTTGCATATTCCCATTTTGCAGATGGAAAAGCTGAGGATCAGGAAAGTTAAATGAATTGCCTTGCATCTGAAGCTAGTAAGAGGAAAATTCAGAAATGGAGCCCAAGTTTGTTGGGACTCACAGCCTGAATGCTCAAGGTCATTGTAGTCTCCCAAGCCAATGGCAGACAATGCTGTGGCCAGGGAAGCAGAGGTGACAGGGTCCTTGGAAGGCAGCCTAGGATGTCTCTGTGATTCCTGATGTTGGGAGAACCAGTTCCTGATGTGTCTAAAATGTCGCAATTCTTCTTTAGGCACCAAGTAAATGGAGAACCCCCTCCCACAGCTCCTCTCGAGTAGCCTATGATAAATTATCTGGTTGGACATGGGTGAGTTTATCTAGCAAAGGAATGTTCTACCTGATTCCTTAAAAATTGCTCATCAGGGCAGGGAACTCCCACTGGAGGCTGGGTGGGCCTCCCTCCTAGCGCCCTGTAATGTGCAGCCCACAGATGGAGTTGATACAAATCACTGGCTGAGATGAAGGTGACCTTGGTAAGGTCACTGGGGTTCTGATGATCGGCCATACCCAGGGGGAGATCTGAAAACCAGCCTCAGCCCTCGCCCTGAAGAAAGCATCCTAGAAGGGCTGTTCCCCAGATGCAGCCACCAACAATTCACTCAGCTGCTTCGGTCACTCCTTAGGCCTTCTGTGCACAGTCACAGTGGCACTGTGGAAGTGCCCCCCACACACTTAGCAGGAACACTTGAAAATAAATGAGTCAAGTCCTTGTCCTTTTAAAACGCACACTTGGGAGGCAGAGAGACAGTAAGGAAGCTAATCCATAGTCAACGAGGTGACTCCTGACAGTGGTTAGCATGGGGGAGGACACAAATGGGGTGATGAGTCAGAGGACAACCATGGGGGACTCACCTGGCCTCAATCTGGGTGATCTCCCCAGCAGACAGTTTGCCGTGGTGAGGGCAAACCTGGAAAAAGGAAAAGTTATGGGGGTGTGCCCCTGGGGCTAAAAACAGGGGGGCTCTGTTTCTACCCTGAGGCCTAAAGGGGCAAGGGAAGAGCAGTTTCCAGAACCTGCAACAAGAGGTCACTGAAGAGTCCCTTCTTGACAGGAGCAGTGACCTTCGGAAGAGACACAGCCAACCAGAGAGACCCAGCAGGGAAGAAGCAGGATAACAGTCAGGACTCTCTCCTGGGCCCACCCTGGGAGGCAGGAGGAATTTCTCTGGATGTGAGTCTTGAGGAAGCCAGGGTAGAAGGTCAAGATGGCCCGCTGACAGCCAGGCTCAAGACCATGGTCCTCCCACAGTGACACACACTCTTCAAGGACAGGGGCTTAACAGTCCCCCCTGGGACCTGACCTGAGCGAAAGGGAATATGTGCAAACCAGGCCAACTTGGAACAGGTGAACTCCAGCTCCCTTCCCTGCTGGAGGGAAGTATTCCTTAGACCTTGAGGATGACCTTGGGCATCAATATTGGCAAGCCTCAGTTTTCTAGTTCCCCCAAAGAGGGCCTTAGGCTTAATGACCTCCAGGTCCCAGATAATGCTGTGCAGAGGAGGATGCACAGGTTCTGGGTCAGGCAGCTGTTGACTTCAACCTTTTGTACCACAACAGCCAGCTGACCTTGTGCATGGGCCGTGGCTGGCTGGGTCTCCGCTTCCCTCTCAACAGGGATGACAACACCTATGGCTCTTCCACTTTCTAGCCAGGGAGCTTGGGTAAGTCACTTACACTCTGTAAGCCTCTACTCCCTTTTCTGTAAAACAAGGTGAAAAATGCTACATTCTCCCTTAAGGTTGTTTTTGCCAGATTCTAATGAAATAAGATATATTAATCACTTAAATTACAAAGAGCTTTCCAGAATGTTCTATGAGATTTTTCTGAGTACTTTCAGTTCAATGAAGTTAACTGGGGTTGTTACATATACTGTTGCCAAAATTTTCTCTATATGGGAATTGTACCCATAGGTTCCTAACATGTCCTTGCTCAGGGTGACAAGCATCCAAGATGGCAGGTGGGTGTGCCACAGAGCACACCAGAAGAAAAGAGCACAACCCTCAGCATCTCATTTTGGGGCCTTCACTGCTTTTTTTAGCCCCCTGGCATGACTTGGTATGAAGCACTAGAAATTCAGGTGACCGAGGAAGGAGCTGCTAATTTAAATGAATAGCTTTGGCAAAAAGAGCCCCCTGAAGAGCTCAGAAGGAGATAATGGCTGCCCTGTTTGGAGGCTGGAGTCTGGAGTTGTTTACTGCCTCCAGGGCCAAGCATTGCTATAGCAACAAATGACTTGGCAACAGCTTTGAACAGACTGCTTCTTTGAAAGAGTTTACATAATAGGGATTACTCAGGTTCTTTCTGAAAGGGATAACATAAGGACTTTTTTATCCCCTCTTCTCAAACATAAGGACATTTGAAAGAATAATCCTTTTTCAAAAATTGTACAATAGAGGGGGAAGGACTAGAAGGCTTTGCACTCAAATGTTAGCAGTTAAGTTTCCTAAGTAGAGATTACAGGGTTTTTTTGTTTTGTTTTGTTTTGTTTTGTTTGTGGGTTCTTTTGGACACTATTCTGAGTCTTCCATGATGCCCATTTGGTTTTTGTTGTTTTGTTTTTTTCTTTTTATTTAAACTAGTGTTTCCATTCACTTCTAAATAACATTAATGTATTTTTTTTAATTTTATTTTTTAGTTATAGTTGGCCACAATACCTTTATTTTATTTACATATTTTTATATGGTGCTGAGGATCGAACCCAGGGCCTCACACATGCTAGACGAGTGCTCTACCACTGAGCCACAAACCCAGCCCAACATCAATGTATTTTATTCATCCTTCTTTCCCATTTTACTAACCCAAAATGTATTTGTGAAATTAAAATTAAATATTTAGATTTCTTTATTAAATTTATTTTTAATCTAGTAATGAAAATGTAAAAAGATATACATTATAGGGGTAACATGTGATGTTTTGGTACACATATATCTTTAATGTTTAAGCAAATTAAACATACCTATCTCCTCAACCATGTATCATTTCTTTATGTTAAAAGGTTTCAGTTTTGTATTAGAAATAAATTTACATTAAAAGCAGTAAATAGATTATGATAAGGCATAAGACTAGAAATTCGGAAATGATATTTGGGGCCCAAGTGAGGGTTAGACCTGGCCTTGATGGAGAAGGATACATACGGGTTTCATAGCACCAGGGTCTTCTGGCTTTTGCTAGCTTGACTAAGAAAAGCAGCTTGAAGGTTAATGTATGACACATGGCCAGGTTACATCTTGCTGAGGGGACACTTGGATCCTGTTGTCCTTGGAATGCAAAAAAAGGGGCCCAACCAATGCCCACTCCCCTCTTTCACCACCTCCTCATTCAGCAGTACATACAGTGATTGTCCTAAGGAAATCAAATCCATGTTTCGTCGTGGAAAGTAGAAACTGATTAATAGGGGAAAAATGTTGAGTTGTTAAAGTGTGATGTGAGGATTTACTCAGGATCTCATGGCCTTGGAGGAAAAGGAGATTGAAGAGACAGCTAGCATGAAGTGTGGATGTTGACTTTGATATTATGGATGTGCCAGTCAGCTCACCTTCACTGTGACAAAATACTTGAGAGAAACAACTTAAAAGGAGGAAAGGCTTATTTTGGATCATGGTTTCAGATGTTTCATTCCATGGTTGCCTGGCCATGTTGCTTTGGGCCTGTGGCAGGACATTAACTCATGGCAGGAGCATATTCTATTTTGTGGTAGAAGAGGCTATTCACTTCATGGCAGCCAGGAAGCAGAGATAGTGAAATTAAGAGCTGGGATCTCAATATGCCCTTCAAGGTCAAGAGCTGGAGTCTCAATATGCCCTTCAAGGTCAAGTCCCAATGATTTAACTTCCTCCCACTGGGCCCCACCTGCAAAAGGTCCCACCACCGCCTTAGAGCACCAAGCCATAAGTGTGAATTTGGTGATTCGTGTAAACCTAAATATTTTTCTCTAAAATGCTTTTTTTCCAGTAAATAATAAAATTGTTTCAAATTTTTTAAAATAAGATGGTAATATTTCCATGTGCACTTATTAATCTACTTCTGTATACTAGGCATTCATTTGAAGGAATTCATAGTTGTGCAATAAAAATGTAAGCAACTATACCCTACTACATTTACAAAC